TTAGCACACTTCTTAGACTGTCGAAGTTTTAAGAAATATTTATTTTCGAATACAAAAAATTTTGTTGGTGAGAGATTATTAAATATAAAAACTGTGGTTTTGAATTAAATTTAAATTTAATTTTACTGAATAGATATGGCTAGAGGTTTGTGTTGCACGGAAGAAAAGCGGGCTATAATTGTGAAGTTAAGAAAAGAAGGGCAGTCGGTAACCTAGATTTCAAAAACGCTTGGGTGTTCAAGAAAGCTCATTTATAACGCAATTAAATATTTTGACGAATTTGGGACAGTTAAATCCGCGGTGCGAGCTCCTTGGCCTCGCAAAACCACCCATTCAAGAGCTCTAAACAAATTAAGACCGAAGTTTCTGGAGTATACGGAATAGAGGTTCCGTCTAAAACGATCAGACGTCCTTTGAATGAAGGCGGACTGCGTGGATGCATTTCTCAGAAGAAACCGTTTGTTTCTAAGAACTTGGAGGCACGCCTTTCATTCGCACGAGCCCACATTAACAAAGCACTTTCTTTTTGGAAGAACGTTCTCTGGAGTGATGAATCTAAGTTTTGTAGATTTGGTTCGACAGTAAACGTTACGTCTGGCGAACCAGGAACCAGCAGCACAATTCTAGGTATACACAAAAAACAGTGAAACATGGAGAAGGAAATATGCCTCCAAGTTCTTCGCCTTTGGTGAAAAAATTTCTTGGAAGAGCAATGCGTTCCCATTCTGCAGTGGCCAGCTCAATCACCTGATCTTAATCCAATTGAGAATTTGTGGGGTGAAGTTGAGAGAAGGATTGAGGGCAAAAACCCAAAAATTTAGAAGAATTGTGGCAGAACATCAAAAGTGCATGGTTGAATATACCTGTGGAACAACGTAGACGTTTGGTGGAGAGTTTGCCTAAAAGATGTTCTGAAGTGATCAAAAATAAGGGTTTTCCAACGAAATATTGAAGTAAAATTTGGTTCGGAGCGGATTGCCAAAGTTTTTGTAGGTAAACCTGAAATGTGCTAAGTATGTGTCCAACGTAGTAATCATTTATTCTTACTTTTTTTTGTAGGTTTTGATTACATCGTCCTTTATGTTATTATTTTAGTTAACCTATCTGTGAAATATGAATATATGTGAAAATATTTAAGTTTTTAGTAAAGAAATTAATGTTATGGAACATTTTTTCTTAAAAGTACGAGTAACTTACTGCTTAGTTTTGGCATTTTATAGTTTTCGATTAATGGCGTTATATGGGCGCAGCAGTGGTCCGATAACGCCCATCTACGAAATGGCTCTTACAGTTTTGCCAAGGAAAACCTGTACCACATTTCACTAAGATATCTTAATTTTTACTCAAGTTATCGCTTGCAAAAACGGACAGACAAATTTCGAACTTCAACCTCTCCATCCTGATCGATTTATTATTATTATTGATTCGCTTCAACCCATTTTTGGCACAAGAGCACACCATTATCAGAAAACAATTCTCTCAGAGTTTTTATATCTCACCGATTCACTGGACGTCCATATATTCGAAACCTTGGACATTTTGGTCATAACACACTTCAAATGTAGTATTTGTGCAAAGTTTTATCCCGATATGTAATTAATGCTTTATTTGTATTGTGGAAAGTAAAAGAATCGATATAATTTTAAATTGTGTATATGATAAGCCGGTTGGAATCCCATATCGCCCATTTTCGTACTGTGGCATAGAAATATAAAAATACGGACACCTTCCAAAAATTCTATAAAGCTCTCTTATACGATCACGTATGCTAAATTGCATCGTTCTGGCACATTTAAGATGGAGACATGCGTAGAAGTTCACGCAAGAGAGGATTTATTTATTGATTGCCATTTACTTGGGAGCAGAAACGGTTATTTTACATATGGCTCAAGCAGCTCACGAATTACGGTCCTAGACCAGGTATCCTCTGGGTAGGCCCTCGTTAGAGTGAACTACCGTCCAATAAATGGATGGGACAAGGACTTAGGCGAGGATGTCCTTGTGACATTTAATACAGTGGCCATATAAAGGAGAGCAAATTCGATGTGGGATTCCTGCTGGAAGAGAGACTCCGTCGCCGAGTACTTTCATTCCGCATCAAAGCGAAGTTCTTCAACATATCGCTGACGTGCGCCCACGAACCGACGGAATAGATTGTATATGTGACCTTCTGTGAGCGCTTGGAGTACACCTATGAGAGTTGCCACGCCACGATGTCAAAATCGTGCTTGGCGGCTTTACCGCCAGGGTGGGCAAAGAAGGTATCTTTCGCACAACAGTCAGTAAATTCAGGCTAAATGAGGAAACATCCCCAAATGGGTTGACGCTGATCGAATTCGCCAGGGCCCGACATTTAGTTAGCTGTAGATAGATTCCAGCATTAAGCTACGAGAGAAAGATTCTGCGAAAGATTCTGCATTCGATGGAACGATGAGCTGTATGAGATATACTACGACATTGACATAGTTCAGCGAATTAAGAGACAGAGACTGCGGAAGAAACGACTTGMGCGCTGTTGTTAACTCGGCTATTATCGCGTAAGCGATGTCTACGCCAGTAAAGAAGAAGACACATATATTTATGGATTTATCGCGATTTTAGTAGTTTTTAACAGGATCGTTATATGGGAAGAAACCACAGAACACGTATACCAATTTCATAAGATTTCAATTTTTAATCAACTTACAACTTGCACGGACGTTAGGATTTCCCCGCGGCTAATCATCCTAATCATTTACATACATATATAAAAGAGAAAGTTGGTATAAACCTCTAAACGGCAGGACCGATTTTAGTGAAATTTTAATAACGAAGCAGTTGAACGATTCCAGGCAAGCAGGGGTCAGGGGGTGAGCAAAATTCTGCGTAATTATTTTACTTATTTCTTATTAAATAATTTTATTTAAAAGAATTTTAAAATCAGAATAAATGTATGTATATTTATGTAAATATTATGCACTGAAGTATTAGTATTTCTCAATAGAAAGTACAAAAAAAAAACCCCAAAGGATAGCTTTGTCGACAAACATATGTACATACATACGCGCTCATATAAATATTGACGCTAAATTGTGCACATCATCGAGGAGTTGACAAAATTTCTATGAATGGACATATCGCAATAATGTCGGCTATCTTGACACTTTTGTTCTATTTACAGCGCTTTATTTTTCAAAATTGATTTACGCTCTTTTGAAGTATTACGATTTTTCTATTCGGCTGCATTTTGATAGCGTCGAGTTTTCGGGGAATGGGCTAAAACGAAAATCTATGAAATTATACATACTTATTTKAAGTAAACATATAAAGGCATGTAGTAGATTTAGAACAAATAAATGTAAAAATGAGTTCCTATAAATGGCAATTTAATATAAATTTTTTTAGTTAAATACCAAATGTAAAAAAAAAACCTTACAAAAATTTTGAAAGTTGGCAAAATCAGAAAATTCTTTAATTTTTGGGCAACATGCAAATATGGGTAATGAATTGTGGGTGGGAAACTCCGTTAATGTAAAAAAACGATGGGGAGAGATAATTTATATGACACAAATGTGTACAAAGTTTGAAATGAAGTAATTTTGAAGTGACAGTGAACAACGGAAAAAGTAGTCCGTTCCCACGACATTTGGGTCTACGAAAACCGAAACGGAACCGGATTTTTATCCGGCCAAGGACTCACACCTCGGCAGAATTTCTGAAATTTTTTTTTTCCTTTTTCGACAGTTTATATTTCCAAAAAMGTCTGTGAAGAATGCAAGGTCGTATCTTGAACAGTTTTTGGATGGCAGCATTCTAAAGAGCTCGGATGTACCAACATAATTGCTGACAACATAACTACGAGAAATTAACCGATCGATTTCAAATTAAAACTGCGTATTGTTGAATACATTTACTATGCAATGACCTACGATCTTTTTAATTGCTTGAAATTGATCAATTTGGCATAAAAAACGATCATCGTTTCAAATAAAATCATAAATTGAACAATTTTTGATATTACTTGAAGGGAAAAGTGTCACTCTCGTAAACCTACAAAGCACAAAAAATGGTCAAAAGTGGCAAAATAGTCTGGTCGATTTAAAATATTTTACAATCACAATTGTGCGTCGATATGTATCAGAGGGCTGCAACAAGTACGATTATATCACAACAATCACTCGTGACAAAAACACAATCAAATCAATTCAATCCATCATAGACAACGTTGTTGATCAATTTGAGTACCCGCCAGCGTCAATTGATTTGATGCAACACGAATAATCTGTTCTTCGGCAATCACGATCGAGTAAACGGTATGACTGGTTTCGGTTCCAACCGTACCATGTCAGTTGCGACGATTGTTTGAATCGATGTGAAACTGCGCGTAAACTACGAATAAGTCTACGAGTACAGCAAACAATTGATTTGAATCATGTGTGGCAAAAAATTTATCAGCTTTGAACATCTGCGCATGTTACTAATTTTCAATGCGTAAACAATGGAAATTCCGTCGAGTACGTACATATGTACATATAATACATACATTTGCTGTATGTATGCACTTTATGGAATTTCCATTATACATATACTCGTAACATACGCATATACACTCGGCAAAAAAAAAAAAAAAACACGCACTCTACAGAGTGCTTTTATAAAGCGCCAAACTTAGATTCATATTATTCTAAAATAAACATTTTTTTTTTGAGGATCAACCACTTTTATTTAGTTTACGTTTCAAGCATTTTTATATAAAAAAACTTATAGTTTAACACTCAAAATAACATATTTTGTATAAAAAAAATTCTTAGTATTTTGTAGAACACTTCCTTGGCTGTTTAGGCATGAATTCAAAAAGACGTTGAAAATAATTTTAATTAATTTCTTCATTCCGCACAGCTTCAATAGTGATTTATATTTCTTTTATCCACGCTCCCCTTTCCTATGATGCACTGTGGTATAAGGGCTTCAACAAATTAAATTTCGATTCATCGGAAAAAATAAAATTTTCCAATCTKATGTTTCCAAGTTTTGTGTAATTTTGCTCACTCTAGTCGCTGTTCGTGTAATGAGAAGTGGTTTTTTGACTGGACGTCGCGATCAGAATCCAAGATTATTCAGCACATTTTGTATAAAACTTCCAGTTATTTTTACCCCAGTGGTTTCGTAAAATGTTGCATTGATTGTTCCAGCATGTTGAAAACGATCACTAAAGCATATCCCTTTAATTTGTCGTTCTTGACGAGGTTTTAGTAGTTTCAGACGTCCACTTCCTTTTTTTCGAGCTAATCAATTAAAATACGTATAGTTTTTAATTATAATATGGACGTTTCAATGCCGTCATTTCATGCTCATTTCACGATCTATTTTACATTTGGATAATTTATTATATATATGAAGCTACGATTTCTTCTTTCTTTTCTGTTGACACCACCATGTTCATCTTTACTTGTTTTCACAACTTATTAAAAAAAAAATACCGCAACACGTGCGAACGCTAACGATTTTAAAAATAACGGTAAAATAATGTAGTCACATGACGAAACAGCCAAATAAGACAAATAGTAAATCAGTGTGGCAGTAGGGGATGATATACAAACCGAACGCTGTCGATCATTTCAATCGTTGAAGCATAAGTATGCATCATTTCGGATATTTTCTGCTAATGCGAACGTTCATAAACAAATCAGGTATAAGCTGATCGCTAGTGATTCAAAGTTGCTCTTTATCGCTGATTTGAAGACAAATGGTTCGATTCGTGTACATGAATCGACCTGACAGAATCAAACAGAGTAACGGATCAATACCCGATTATGAAAAAAATGTTTACTCGTTACAGTTTATATGTTTATATTTACTGTATGTATACGTACATTATCGTATACAGCTCACTGCAGTGCTTCCCGCGAGAGGAGTTCATTATGCTCCTTTACAGGAAGCATAAGCATCTCGCTGTGCAGGTGTTCAATGGGAGACATCAAAAGGCATCCCGCCGTTGTCCGGAGTGCAGTATTCTGGCAGGTCTGAAGTTTCCTCATCTGCGTTCCACTGCATCCAGGCGACCATATTGGTGCTGCGTAGTTGAGGACCGAACGGGCGATTGCCTTGTAAGTTGCCAGCAACGTTTCTTTGTCTTTTCCCCATGTGCTTCCGGCTRGCGACTTGAGGATCTTGTTGCGGCTCTGTACTTTGGCGATAATCGCGGTCGTATGAGGAGAGAAGGAGCATAGATTATCGAAAATTACACCTAAAATCTTAGGGTTATTGACAGTCGGAATTTTGACGCCATCGACTGCAATATTAAGGGGGTTTAAATTTGCAATTAACCTCCTTAGGGATCAACTCAGGATACTGGTTGCATTTTACACCGGCYACTGCAAGCTGAATTGGCATTTACATAACATGGGAATATCCTCTTGCGTAAACTGCCGGTTCTGCAATAGTGAGCTTGAAACACCAGAACACCTGCTAATCGACTGCACAGCAGTCTGTGGACGCAGGATTAAGGCCCTTAGATTAACGTTTCCTAATAGGGATCGAATCGCCTAACTAACACTCAGCAGAATATTGAACTTTATCAATATGCTGGGGCTATGTGAGTCGTTGTGTTTATGATATGAATTATATTGAATTTTAACATAAAGGGGTAAAAGGTCCCTGGTTCTAAGCTACCTTCCCACCAATTTTCAGCCAAAACGGTTCAGCCGTTGTTGAGTTATAAATAGTGTACGTAAAATTACTTTTTTTTACATATACGGATTTCTTGATCTACAGGCCCTCCTTTATCTGTACATACCAATTTTAACCCCGAAATAGGGAAATGCTATTTTAAAATTTACACGTATGAATAAATTGGATTTCAACAAAAGTTAAAAATATTTGAAGTGATTTTTAAACTATTTAATACAAAACAAATGTATAAAATCGAATTACGGGGAAACTTTAGCATACCATCCCACTATTTCAGTGTTAAAAGTGGTATGACTGTATAGAGGAAATGGTCCAGAATAAGAATATATATAATTATGGAAGCCGCAAACTTATGCCCAGTTTCACAGTGCTTACTTAAGTTGTGCTTAAGATAAAACAGGAAAATTATGTTTCACAGTTCATACTTAAGTTATGCTTAAGTACTGAAAATGAGAGACTTAAGCAGTGCTTAAATAATAGCTGGTTTTTTTTTGAGTTTTCTGCGACATCTTTCTTAGCGTTCGAGCTAGTGTCCGTCGGCTTGCATTCGATGACAGCTTTATACTTTTCCACCAATTCCAATAGCTCCAACTCGCTAGTGGTGAAATTCGAGGTTCTTCTGTTTTTTCCATGCATTTTCGATATAACTTTAATAAAAATGTATGTATAGTCTGTCTTAGTCTGTATTATTTCAAACATATTTTTATGAATGACATCTGTAAAACATAACTAATCATTGACTGTGACGCGCAAACGACTACTCAGTTGTTGTTGTTATAACGATTATCAGTCCCCGTTGGAATGGTGAGGGTTATCAGTGTTGTCGTCGATGTCATCTAACGGGAGGCCCAGGAAACGTGCTGTTTCGACGGGGTCGGACCAAAGGGTAGTTTCTCATCTGCGTGCCACTGCATCCAGGGGACCATCTAGGTGCTGCGTAGTTAAGGACCGGCGGGCCGATTGCCTTGTAAGTTGCCAACAACGTTTCTTTGCCTTTTCCCCATGTGCTGCCGGCTAGCGACTTGAGGATTTTGTTGCGGCTCTGTACTTTGGCGATGATCGCGGTTGTATGTGGAGAGAAAGAGCATAGACTGTCGAAAGTGACACCTAAAATCTTAGGATTTTGACGCCGTCGACTGCAATGTTAAGTTCCAGTCTATACTCCTTCGTCCAGTTTGTGAATATGGTCGCTGTGGATTTGGTRGGGGAAAGTTGGAGGTTCCGTGCAGTGAGGAAACGAGAAAGGTCGGAGAGGTAGCTGTTTACCTTCGAGCACATGCCATCGATTCCATTGCCCGACGTCAATATCGTACAGTCATCAGCGTATGAGGTTATGGACTACTCAGTCTGCAACAATGCTTAGCTATGATATTATTTGGGCACAACTTAGGTATGGACATTGAAACCGTTCATATAGTTTTCAAGATATTTGCATTTAAAGTTTAAAATTACCACTATTTGCAGTACGTATGTTGCGAATTAGAATTTGTTTTACACTTATATTTTGCACTTTTGTATCCAATAACATTTCACTAATTCGTCTGTACACATTTGTTTTACATTATATAGTTCAAAAATAGTTTTTATTTAACTTATTGATAACATATATATATCGAATAATATATTTTAACAAACTAATAATCATACAATAGAAAGAAAGATTAACAAAAAGGAATTTTAAGAAAAACATTAGACACACCCCATTTGGCGGGTATTAAAAAGTCTTTTTTTTTTTTTTTTTTTGCCTTATACAACCGCAAAAATCGCTTTTTGGGTATAATCTATTTTTTTTTTTTCTTAGTCCATTTCCAAAAGATACCTATCTATAAGGTAACACTAATTGTTTGACAGACTGCAACCTTTTACTTGTTTTCAAATAAATAGATTTGAACAATATGTTGAATATTGGTATAAAACCATTTCAAGCTTCTTAGCTGCAAAATAATAAACCTGACCGGTCCGGTCCTACACCAGGGCGTGTCAAATTTTTTTCGCTTAAAATTCCTTTTGGGTATGTACGGATAGAGGAGGTCCCCTAGATTAAGAAAATGTGTATATATATTGTTGCCGCTGATTTATGGTTTTTGAGATATTTGCATTTAAAATTCAACTATTTAAAATGCATGTTTCTTCCTATATATTTTTAACTTATAAAAGTTCCACTAACCATTTATTTTATATTAAATAGTGCAAAAATAACTTTTATTCAACATTTAACTTTTGTTCATTAATTTTTGTTCGTACAATAACAAAAGAGTTGCATTCTAACTAATAATCAGTGATACCTTACGTTCATATTTTACGGAAGAACCAAAGGAAATAAAGAAAACAAATAATACCCCAATGACAGGGGTATAACACATTAGTTTTCCGCATATAATTTTTTCAGCATTGGCGGCCTTCGGCCGCATTCAAAAAAATAGCCCTCAGTCGGACCAACACCTGGGCGTGCTCAGTTCTTTTGCGTTGAACTCCTTTTTTCCCGATCCAACACCGGGATTTACCAAGATAATGAGAATTCTGRAAGATTTTGCATAACTCTTAATACGATAATGAATTTAGTTATGACGTCATAACCTTTCTTTTTTCTTATTTTTATTCCATTACAAAATATGGTAACACAAATTTTTTGCTTGTTTACAACCACTTTCTTATTTCATGAATAAATGGATTTTACTAAAGTTTGATATGGAATTATTATTATTTTTGCACTAATTAATATAAAATAAATGATAAGAAACAAATTAGTGTAGTGTTAGTGGATATAAAAGTATAAAATATAAGAGAAAAATACATATCGCGCATTTTAAATAATTTATTTTTGAAATTTAAATGCAAATATCTCAAAAAACGGCACGATTCCTTTACTTTGGCGGARGGGTAAAAAAACCGAATTTCCATAGAAATGGGGTATGTACGGATAGGCTAGCTTCTCCAGAGTAGGAATATCCAAAAATTAGATAAAAATTACTAATATTTTTTAAAATATTCACGTTTAAAATTTCAAAAATTTGCACTGCGAACACATGTTATTTCACTATGTTTCWCTAATATTTTTCAAGTTTTTTTTTATGTATATTTAAATATAGACTCTAAGCTTTAAAATAAGTTCASATTTCACATTTATTTTGTAATTTTTCTGCTAAATTTAGTCATTTAAAAATTACTTATCAAATTTATGACTGACAAGTTTAGAGTGTTTATATTTACGAGGAAAACCACACCTTCAAAACCAAAAGTGAAAGATTTTTCAGCGTTTCACAGCGTTTTCTGTGTTTATACTTTCAAGTGTTTCTTTTTTCTCTATTAACTATAAAAAACTATAAAGAAGAAATTTATTAAGCAAATAAGTAATATTATATACATGTATTAGTAATATTATATAAT